ATTTTTTCTGTAGGGTTGGCAGGTATGCATGTGGCTGTTAAAGAAGGTTCCACTGTACTTGAAGAGATCTTCCTTACCCGAAAATCAAATGGTCGCTTTTAAGCACATGGGGACTATCCCGAAAAAGCTGTTTTGAGAAAATCAAAGGTAAAGTTTTTGCCCCTTGTTCAGTTTCTTTAAAAGACAAGGAGAGTTTTCTCTATAAAACCAAACAAATATACACAACAATGAAACCAAACTTCTCTTATAGGAAGGGCAATGCCCACTTTTGGTGCAGGCCAAGATTTCAGGAAACCTCCAAAATCTGGATTAACCCGCTCATCCTTATAGGCGACCAAACGCCCGATTATGAGATTGTAAAGATGGGACTAACCTTTGACCTTCTGAGCTTCCATTGTTTTCTTGTTTCTATATTTAGACAGTTTCTGCATTTCCTTCGCACACTGATCCTTCTGTTCCATTTCTTCGCAGAGATTTTCCAGCATGTCCATCGCTTTCTCAGCTACAGCAAAGTCTTTGCGGAGAGCATCTGCCATCCAAAAATAATGAAAGTGGAAAAAATAAAGGGAAGCGTTTACAAACAGATAAAAATAATAAATAGCATTTATGCTGCGCATTTCCATTTCGATTTTCTAAAAAACGCTCAAACCGCAGTACATTAAAAAAGACATCACATCTTAAAAATTAATCGACATGTGTGCACGTAAAACACAGTATTAAGTAATATACATTTATATATATTTTATATATATATATATATAAATATATATATGTGTCACGACACAGTGGAATCGTTTTTGGGCATGTGGAGTTATGAGTATCATCTTAAAGGTTGTTCATTTTCCTTGCTTCCGATGGAAAAAAATATCATTTATCTTGAATAGGAGTCGAGATATTTGAGATTGAAGGGTGTGGGGTCGCCTGGTTTTAGAAGTAAAATTTGTGAAAAACTGGCCGCCAAAGTTTGGTGACTTTCTTAGGTTAACAGTCTTGGTAACTGCAAATGTATATTTCTTGTGCCTTTCACCAAAGTTTTTACATAAAATCCATACATAAAAGTGTTGTTGAATGGACATATTGACATAGAAGGTGTTATCCAAAAAACAGAAATTCGAAAAAAAAGTTCCAAATTGGCCAAAAAAATGCTGATTTTTCGGAAATCATTATTTTGTCGAGTGCCTGATTTGACCAAAATGCCTCACATATATATATATGTATATGTCATCATCATTGCCTTTCTCATCCTGCACCAGGGTATAGGCCACGGACAAACACCCTCCACTTTTCTCTATCCTGGGCTAGCCTCTTGATATGTATATGTATAAAAACATTCTATGAGAAAAACAGTCTCGCAGTCAGCTTGGCAATGAGACATGTCAGGCCCTGTCTTTTTCAACAATGAGCCACCGAGGCCACCGAGGATCCATGTTTTTATTGGCACATCATACATCAAGTATGGAATCAGAGAATCCAGATAGGAAAAGAATTAAGAAGGTGAATTATTTGAACACATCGTCGGTTTTATGCACAAACCGGCTACATGCATAAACGCAAATTTTACAGGAAGGACATTACTTTTCCAATCCAATAACAGGAAGGACAAAAACTGATTATTGTTAAAACATGCTGCATAATATAGTACATTTTTATACGAAAGGTGAAGTATAAGTGTTGGGACCAAATATCCTAGATGTGTGTTAGACAGAAATGTCTGATCGGAAAAGTAAAGTAAAAGTAAAGTGTTATTTTGACCCATCAAGTCCTGCGTCCCCCCCAGACGTGTGTTAGACTGACTCATCAAATCCTGCTA